ACCAGCCAAAATCGCGATAAACATCCTGTAAATGGGAGCTCTCAGCGGCCATTTGCCGTGTCTCTCCTCTTACCTGCGGGACATAAAAATAGGAAAATTTGGCAGAGCTGTGCCCAGGAGTGTCAAGGGTTTTTTTCTACTCTAGGCTCAAGCAATAAAAACCAAGCTCGAATTGTTTTAATAGCCTCTTGTTTGTTGCTGTTTGTCCCCGGGGAACTCCTGCCTGTGTGGGTGGGACCCCGCGTTGGTCGTGCCCCGTGTGGGGTCCGCGGCGGGGCGGCAGCGCGGGGATCTCCCGGCCCCGCACCCGCGGCCACCTTCAATGAACTGCGGCGGAGCGGGCAAAAAGCGGAGCGGCAATTACGGCTGTGCCTGAGAATAATGTGGAGTGCAGGGAGCTCTTGGTGGGAATTTGAATTATTGAGAAATGGCTTAAAAATAAATGTGTAGCAATTACCGAAAGAGACAAAAGGCTGATTTGTGAATAGAGGTTGAGAGGAAAACAAAAACCCGGTTTTGTCACCTTTTGGGAACAGAACAGACTGATCCCGGTAAAGACTGTGGGGGATCTGTGCAGTCCACCTCATTTAGAGGTAGAAGTGTCCAGCTGAATGTTTGAGTCAGGTGCTGTCAAAACGTCTGTAAAATATTGGAATAAACAGTTAGATAAATGATGTCCACAGGAACAAAGTCGATCACTCCAGTGATCCATGTGATGTGTGTCTGGGTAGGGAGTAGGAAACGTATTTTCAAAGAATGCTGTGAAACACAGGATCCGTGAATCTAGAAAATCCAAGACTAGGGTTTCGTAAGCGATTTTCGTTAATCTTTTCTTTGTTGTAGTCTGTTTCACATAATGGACCCATTTCATTTTGTGCGTTTAAAGAAGACCCTTTGAAACAATGTTACCGTTTATCTTCCTCCCAGTAAATACGTGAGCCTTTCCCTTACTGGCATTTTAAAAATTTGTTTTAGTGAAAATAATGTTTTCAGGGTCCGAGGGCAGGTGCTGGGGGGGTTGTGTGAGATGCAGTGGCGCGGTGGGGTTCGGCCGGGGGTGCGGTGCTGCCTCGCTTGGCTGATGCCGCTCCTCAGCGTCCTGGGGGGCTCAAGAAACGCACGGGATATACACCCGGAGCTCTTCGGCGTGTGCTTCAGAGTAAGCCGCTTGAATTGCCCTCAGAGGAAGGACAATGCAGTGAGATTTCTGGCGGCGGGGTCTGCCTCCCCTCCCGCTGCAGGAGCCCAAACAGGGGCCCGTCAGACACGTCCCCTCCTGGGCTGGGGAGGGGGGGGAGCTGGGCTGCGTTTGGCTGCAAGGGCCTGGGAGGTTGATTGGAAAATAAATTGTGTTGCTTAGATTAGCCTTACAGCAAGATCCCCAAGTCCCAGCACTTATCCCTGGTTGGGGTTCAAGGAGCTGGATAGGATAGCTGATTTTTCGACCAAGGGGCGGGTGTGGGATGCTCCCATGTTACCTTGTGTGCTGTGGCTCTCTGGGGTGCCTGGGTAGCCACACATGGATTTCTGTCCCCTTACCAGCTACCAGCATCCACCCCTAGCTAGAATTTTTCCTGAGAGAATATAAAA